ATAAAGTTGAATATGGTTGTGAGCAGGCAATCAATAACCCATAAATCTGCATCCTGGAATTTAAAACTGGCATTTTCCCTTCATTCTATTGGATTTATACTTCCTACACACTTCATCTACAATCAGGATCAATGCACTCAGCGCCAGCAGATGTAGGAGAGGAGTAGTGACTGATTACTCATCATACTTGTTGCTTGATGCGAGTCAAAGATGGTCACTCGGTGGAGAACTCGATGGAAATGCCTGTGGAGCTCTAATCTGATGGATGGAAGACTTGATGGAGCTCGGTGGACTGGAGCTGTGCTCAGTTGTTAGTGTAGTAGTGTTCAATCGTTGGTGTTCTGGGTTGGTGTTCTGGATCGATTTAGGGCAAAATCGATTTAGTCTAGAATGGAGAATGGAGAATGTTCAGTCACTGACTCGCTGGATGAACAGTGGTTAGAGCTCATCGGAGATAACTGTCGTTGAATGGTTGGACCTCATTAAAGAAGAGGCTGGCTGAGAATGGTGGGTGGAGGAGTTCGCTCACAGTCGNATGCCCAATCCTATGGATTTGTGCCAATTCTAGTTACCAACATGCCTTAACATTGATTATGATGGCAAATGTCTCGATTACAACTCCTCCCACCACAGAACTACATAATTAGAAGTGTGGCGAGGAATGCGGATGATGCATCAATGAATTAAATTGAACAAATGAAACAAGTCTTTCACAAGGTACTCCTTTCCCCTTTTACCGCAAGCACGCCCACCATTACATCACTGTGTCCAACTATGAATTTAGTAGCTGAATGCATCACAATGTCTGGAAAAAGCAATGGAACCATCAGAAGCAACAAATAAAATCTTGAACGAGAGATTGCATTTCTTATATCTGAAACTTAAATAAAAATAACTTGTTTTTAATACCTGCTCCAAGTTCCAATGGTTGAGACAATACAGGGGACATGATGCTGTTATCCACCAACACAAGAGCACCACGAGCATGAGCTATCCCTGCTATTTTCTGCATGGAAATTAACAACAAAAAAAAAGTTATTATGCCGTCAGAAAGCACCAACAAGCCACAATTCTTTAAGGGTCATAATTTTAGTAAGAAAGAATATATTTCTGGGTACTTCGAACTATGGAATGATGCCCAAACAAAATTGAGCCTCTAAAACCATCAAGAAAACTATTCTTTTCCTTTATATCTCAAGGTGTTTATGGTTCAACGCTGTTGCTAGTAACAGAGAGATAGAGAAAATAATAGCGGTTTCAAGTAATTATCCTTATATGAAAAGTGCAAGTGATAAATGCATCTCCGTGCTTCTAAGTGCCAGCCAGTGAAAAAAAGAGGCAGTGAAGTGCTGAGGAAAAAAAGAGGCAGTGGTCGGACTCTCCAGCCACACAAGCTTTGTCCGGGGGCCAATTGCAGATGCAACTTCATCCCGATCAGTTGTATTCACTCGTCTACATAATGTAACAAAATTTATCGTAAGACTTGCAGATAAATCTATATGAATATAAAGAAATCACACCCTTTGCGATCAGAACAAAGAAAAAAATATACTAACTTAACCACAATTCCAGTTTTTGGAATTACTTGCGACAACACCCGATCAGAACCACCATAAATGTCATCTCCAGCAACAATTTCCTCACCTATGATGACATCCTTACCAATTAATATGCAAACATGGAAGGAGTCTCTTGAAGTTTGAAAACATCAATCAATATAAGAGGCAAATTTGATATCTATATATGGATAAATTTACATACCAATGGCACTGCTAAATTTGTACGAAAAAATAAAATCGGTATTTAGCAAGGACGTCGTAACATCAATCTAGATCATATGATCATGGAGCACACACAAATGAGGACACATCGCTGAGGTTTAGAACTGAATAACAACTTAATCATAATAACACGATGCACTTGTCTGTACTACTCATGCCTCGGTATTTTAGAACATCCGTACAACATGTATCTGGAAACGAATATTCAAGAAAAATAGTTTTGTACTAAATCAGAGCAAGTCTATAAAGCTGAATATGGTTGTGAGCAGCCAATCAATAACCCATAAATCTGCATCCTGGAATTTAAAACTGGCATTTTCCCTTTGTTCTATTGGATTTATACTTCCTACACACTTCATCTACAATCAGGATCAATGCACTCAGCGCCAGCAGATGTAGGAGAGGAGTAGTGACTGATTACTCATCATACTTGTTGCTTGATGCGAGTCAAAGATGGTCACTCGGTGGAGAACTCGATGGAAATGCCTGTGGAGCTCTAATCTGATGGATGGAAGACTTGATGGAGCTCGGTGGACTGGAGCTGTGCTCAGTTGTTAGTGTAGTAGTGTTCAATCGTTGGTGTTCTGGGTTGGTGTTCTGGATCGATTTAGGGCAAAATCGATTTAGTCTGGAATGGAGAACGGAGAATGTTCAGTCGCCGACTCGCTAGATGAACAGTGGTTAGAGCTCGTCGGAGATAACCGTCGTTGAATGGTTGGACCTCGTCAAAGAAGAGGCTGGCTGACAATGGTCGGTGGAGGAGTTCGCTCACAGTCGTTTGTGGAGGAGGAGAGCTGAGAGTCGCAAATATTTGAAAATTTTTAACGTGATTTTGGAAATTTTAAGNTGGCGAGGAATGCGGATGATGCATCAATGAATTAAATTGAACAAATGAAACAAGTCTTTCACAAGGTACTCCTTTCCCCTTATACCGCAAGCACGCCCACCATTACATCACTGTGTCCAACTATGAATTTAGTAGCTGAATGCATCACAATGTCTGGAAAAAGCAATGGAACCATCAGAAGCAACAAATAAAATCTTGAACGAGAGANATGTGTTACACATGCACAAACGTCATGAGATGTAAAGGAAATATTCTAAATGTGAAGGAGTTCAAATGATTAAGTGACAAACATGAGGGGATCTAGATATAATTTATCAATTTAATTTTAGGTGCACATTGATACAAATTTCTATCTTTGAGGGTGCAAATTGAGATTCTTTATCTTCGGGGATGCACATTGATACAAATTTCTATCTTTGAGGGTATAAATTGAGATTTTTGANATTGCATTTCTTATATCTGAAACTTAAATAAAAATAACTTGTTTTTAATACCTGCTCCAAGTTCCAATGGTTGAGACAATACAGGGGACATGATGCTGTTATCCACCAACACAAGAGCACCACGAGCATGAGCTATCCCTGCTATTTTCTGCATGGAAATTAACAACAAAAAAAAGGTATTCTGCTGTCAGAAAGCACCAACAGGCCACAATTCTTTAAGGGTCATAATTTTAGTAAGAAAGAATATATTTCTGGGTACTTCGAACTATGGAATGATGCCCAAACAAAATTGAGCCTCTAAAACCATCAAGAAAACTATTNACTCGATGGAAATGCCTGTGGAGCTCTAATCTGATGGATGGAAGACTTGATGGAGCTCGGTGGACTGGAGCTGTGCTCAGTTGTTAGTGTAGTAGTGTTCAATCGTTGGTGTTCTGGGTTGGTGTTCTGGATCGATTTAGGGCAAAATCGATTTAGTCTGGAATGGAGAACGGAGAATGTTCAGTCGCCGACTCGCTAGATGAACAGTGGTTAGAGCTCGTCGGAGATAACCGTCGTTGAATGGTTGGACCTCGTCAAAGAAGAGGCTGGCTGACAATGGTCGGTGGAGGAGTTCGCTCACAGTCGTTTGTGGAGGAGGAGAGCTGAGAGTCGCAAATATTTGAAAATTTTTAACGTGATTTTGGAAATTTTAAGAGTAATGATACGACGTTTTAAACCCTTTTATTTTTTTTAAAGCCTGTGAGAGACCGTTTAAAAATTAATATTTAAAAATATTATTATAAATGACAATTTTAAAAACGTTATTAAGAATGTTGTTTTCAAAAAAAAAAAATTAATTTTAAATTGTCATTTTCAATGACTTTTTAACATTTAAAAATATTATTCAAAATAATATTTTTTAAAAATAAGTTTAAAATTAATTAAATTTTAGAATTAAAATTTAAGGGGCTGGGTTTTGGGAAAACCTTGGGGGCCATAGCACCCGATTCACAATAACTCGACAGAGTGAGTTAGGATACTAACAAAATAAAATCTATCCTAAAATGATATAGATCCTTCGACATATATGCCTATAAGCACCACCTGCTGCAAAAGTTTAACAAGTAGGATCAAACCCCTCTCTCTCTCTCCGTGGATGCTCCGTTTAACGTGCTAANTAAGATTTAAACAATCTTTTAGGATGTAAAATGAGATTAACCCAAAATAAAATCTATCCTAAAATGGTATAGAACCTTCGACATATATGCCTATAAGTACCACCTGCTGCAAAAGTTTAACAAGTAGGATCAAACCCCTCTCTCTCTCTCCGTGNAAGTTATTATGCCGTCAGAAAGCACCAACAAGCCACAATTCTTTAAGGGTCATAATTTTAGTAAGAAAGAATATATTTCTGGGTACTTCGAACTATGGAATGATGCCCAAACAAAATTGAGCCTCTAAAACCATCAAGAAAACTATTCTTTTCCTTTATATCTCAAGGTGTTTATGGTTCAACGCTATTGCTAGCAACAGAGAGATAGAGAAAATAATAGCGGTTTCAAGTAACTATCCTTATATGAAAAGCGCAAGTGATAAATGCATCTCTGTGCTTCTAAGTGCCAGCCAGTGAAAAAAAGAGGCAGTGAAGTGCTGAGGAAACAACCAGAAGTGGCAAAATTCAATCACACAGAGATGAAGGCCAAAAAAGGAAGAAAAAGGATCAAGTCCCAGCAGCAAAGGCAAAGTTCAATCAAGTCAAACAAATGAAGTGTAAGAATGCAGCAACAGGACTAAGTCCCAGCAGCGAGAAATTTTTTAACCCAAAAGTAATCTCCCTTTTTCATATTTTCATTCCCATACATCCATAGAAAGAAAAATACCCAAAAGCCCTTGGAAAAAAAAAAACCTTTATTCCAAAAGATCCAAGATTTTCCTTTTTTATTAGGAAAAATCCAAAAGGAAATATTTTTCTACCAGATAGACCAACTGCCCATTCAATCCGTAATGACATTCAAACTCATTGACTATTAGCTATAATTACCCTTGCATGTTTGCACAATTCAACAGTCAGCATAGCTAGAAGAGACGTACATGAGGTCTTCTTTTTGTGAAAAAATCATACATGGCATCTCAGAGTTTTCTAAGTTGCTGCACCATTGTACCAAATTTTATTGCAAGAATCACAGCAAATCACAACATGGTTTCAAAATATATTCTCAAGCAGCAATACTTGAAAAGACTTCACACACGAGTAATGTAGGTTTTAGCATTATTCTTTACAATGCCCAAATTTAAATGTGAGGATGCATGTACAGATATTTTAACGTATGTACTACACTGATTGCTCCAACAACAACTAGAAACAATAGTACGCAATCATAACTTCAACTTTAAAACTAAATAACTTACACGAATATCAGAAATTTGTTGCCGAGGGTTGGTTGGACTCTCCAGCCACACAAGCTTTGTCCGGGAGCCAATTGCAGATGCAACTTCATCCAGATCAGTTGTATTCACTCGTCTACATAATGTAACAAAATTTATCGTAAGACTTGCAGATAAATCAATACGAATAAAATGAAATCACACCCTTTGTGGTCAGAACAAAGAAAAAAATATACTAACTTAACCATGATTCCAGTTTTTGGAATTACTTGCGACAACAACCGATCAGAACCACCATAAATGTCATCTCCAGCAACAATTTCCTCACCTATGATGACATCCTTACCAATAAATATGCAAACATGGAAGGAGTCTCTGGCAGTTTGAAAACATCAATCAATATAAGAGGCAAATTTGATATCTATACATGGATAAATTTACATACCAATGGCACTGCTAAATTTGTACGAAAGAATAAAATCGGTATTTAGCAAGGACGTCATAACATCAATCTAGATCATATGATCATAAAGCACACACAAATGAGGACACATCACCGAGGTTATGAACTGAATAACAACTTAATCATAATAACACGATGCACTTGTCTGTACTACTCATGCCTAAGTATTTTAGAACATCTGTACAACATGTGTGCATGTCAGTAGAAGACATAAAACTGTGAAAGCGAAAAAGCACCTGTCCCAAGAAGATGAGTGACAGCGGCCAAAGCAGCCATCCCACTGGTAAAGCAAAAGGCTCGATCTGCTTTGTCAAGCTTTGCCAGGAGACTGAGTGTATGCAAACAGAATAATGTTGCCAAGAAAAAATAGAGCAATGATGAAGATTTATAAAACTACATCAAGGACATTATGCATAACGATAGGCAAACTCAGACCTTTGCAAGGCATCCCGTGTAGGATTTCCACTCCTAGTATAATCATAAGGACCATTCTCTGCTGCTGAAGGCTGTAGAATAGGGTACAAAAGACAAAGTTCAAGTGAAAAATACAAAATGATGATATCACATGAGTGAAACGTCATGTTAAACGCCTACATGCATTACATCTGATTCCTTACAAGCCAACATACATGATAGAAATAATGATAACAAGAAGTCAACAACGAAGATGACGGTTGTAACTGGAACTCAAGTGAATGTTACAAAGCATTCAAGTTATAACTTAAGAAGCACGGGCACGGACACAACATTTCTCAAAAAATTATAACATGTACCTGTTAGGGATATGCTACACATAGTTGTGTTTTATATAAATTATATAATTTATCACAAATATAGTGATAATGATATATATTACTCATAAAAAATTCAATATTTTATGATAACTNCCTTCGACATATATGCCTATAAGCACCACCTGCTGCAAAAGTTTAACAAGTAGGATCAAACCCCTCTCTCTCTCTCCGTGGATGCTCCGTTTAACGTGCTAAGATGGACCCCAAGCCCTAGCCCAACAAGAACACTCCTCAAGGAAGCCACAACATCAAAGGACCGAGGTCATCATGACCCAGAAATGGATAGCTTTGCATCTGAAGAAGAAGAAGAGATTTCATTCAGTGACATGAACAAGAGCTTCCCCTTTGGCATTGGTCCGGCTCCGAGAACTATTCCTCTCTATCCAGAGCTGAAATGATCGCTAGAAATGAACAGAACGTCGCCTTTTCAAATGGGAATAATGGAGTTTTCTTGACGTGGAAGGAGTTGTGGGTGACGGTGCCGGAGAAGAAAGGGGATCGCAGGCCGATCCTGCAAGGGCTCACCGGGTACGTGAGATCCGGTGAGGTCTTAGCTGTCATGGGTCCTTCTGGCTGTGTCAAGTCAACTCTTCTTGATGCATTAGCACGTACATAATTTTATCGACTGTTCTGTCGAAATATTTTTTTTATATGGGATCTCTATTTTTGAGATGTCTTCGTTTTGTATTCTTTTTATTGTGGTCTGAGATGTATATGTTGAAATTCAATGTTCTTCTCTTTTTCATGGCTCTTACATGATTCCATGTTTAATGTCCCAGCTCTCCCAGAACAATTGCTGTGATCTCATTTCCTTTTCAACAGTCAGAAATTTCTGAAACTGTCTTAAATTCAATTGAATGATGAGGGGGTAGCATATTTATATCATATTTGCATTCAAAGATTGTGCGGACCGATGGACTTATTGGCCTTAATCGTTACAAAGGGTGATGTTATCAAATCGAGCCCCACCACGATGTACATATTGTGTAATTCAATTTTTTTTAAAAAGTTTGTGCGTCAAATCAGGTCTAACAATTTGGATCCAAGGGTCAGGGAAAATTCAATTTTTTTTTCAATTTTCTGAAATTTTCATTTATCAATAAAAATGATTTTCGTAATCTTTCGTTTCTCTTCACCTAGCAAATCAAGGGTTCCTGGGATGAAGCAGTACCGTCCAAGGTGCCACAACCCTTACATGGGCTATTGATTTAGGACACCTTATGTTCCTCCTAATTTCTACTCACCTTATTTATTTTTATTTTTTTTAGTTATACGTTCAAGAATATTCGGATCAACTTGCGTACATCTCCCATCTCCGGTCCGGTCAAAAGTTGATCATTCATCCTAAGACTAGAGAATTTATAAGACATAAATTCTTCATAACCTAACCCCAAAAAATTATTAAAATTAAAACGCAATTCTTTTAAATTTACAGTTTATTCATATTATCACTTAAGCTAAAATTACCCGGTGTTATTTCTAGTCACTTTATGGATATGGGTAAATTACCCTTCAGTTGCTCTCTAGATGCATCTTAGACAGTGCATTGATCACGAGAGTACCATATATGATCTCTTTGAAAGATGGATCATGACTATACGCTTGTCAATCGTGTCTGGATAAAACGGGTTTGTGTCGAATCTTATCAGGTTAGTGTTAAAAAATATTCTACTTATACTCAATTTATTTACTAATTTATGTCAAACGAATCGTGTCATATCGAGTTCGTGTTGTATATGAATCATATATAAATGAGTCGTATCGTGTTTATTTTTTGATTGATTTCACTTATACCCAATTCATTTATTAATTGTGTCGTGTCGAATTCACTCGCTTGCTTACTAAACGGGCGGCTTAAAGAAGTCACAAACTTTTTAATGTCATATCGTATTCGAATTGTATTAACGAAGAATTATATCAGGCCTAATCATAACCATCACTAATCACGCATGCTTCTTATCATTTCCTCAAAAACAAACCACGATAGGAAGACTATCTAGACATATGCGTATGGCGCGTGTTGGGTAAGTGAAAGTTTCGTTGGCTTGGCGCTGTTTTGCAAATATTGTTGTGGTTTGGATTTCCCTTTGTTGTGAGTGTGGTTTCACAACCACAGGTTACCATAACTTATAACTTGGTCCTACTGCTGTTATTGTTCATCTAATTTATCGATGGTTGCTTTTATCGTGCTTTAGCGTAATGCCGTAATTGCTTGGGTTAATATGATCTTGTGATGTTCCCCAAGCATACACCGATTTTTTTAATAAATTACTTTGTTTTTGATCTGCATGGATGCCTTTATAGTTGCTTTTGACTAAATATTTTTACTTATTAACTTTGGGAGAAGACTTGAGAAATTTTTCCTCTTCATTTTTTAAATTTCTGAAATTTTTGATTTATTTTAGTACATTTACTCCAATTGCATTGCACCATGTGGTCTAACCTGTATCTGATAACTACAAATTTTTTTGAAAACATTTACTTTTTATCATCCTAACTTTTTACAATTATTTGTGACTTCCCAACTTCTTTACATGGTGGGGAGATAAAGAGGAGAAAGGAACCAAATGAGAATGAATGGAAGGGGATGAGATACAAATTCCATGCATCGCATTGAATTGTTGTTAGTATTTGTAATAGTACTCTCATATGAATATGAATATATTTTTTTAGAGAGAGAAGGGGGAGGGGAAACTCAAATTAGACAAGTTAAACACAGTAAACATCTTCAATTACAGGTTGCATTAAGGACTAAAATGTTATTGTACACCTTGCCCTTTAAAACCTTGGTTGTTTTCATTCTTTCTATCGCGTAAAAGGTTGGCCGTTTTACTAACTCAATGTCTAGAATGCATTTATACTAGCAATCTTAAGAAAAGGGTTTATATATCTTTACCTCTAGGTTTTGCTTGTGAAGAAAAATGGCATGTAGTCTTTCCGGCTCAATCAAACAATTTCTAGGTTGAAACAAGCAATTTACTAGTAAAAAGGCTTAAAAACAAGAAGCGAGAAAGGTCCTTTTTATCTTTATTAGTTAAGCCTAAACATCTTTTACTGATATAATAGAAGGTAAGACCGGCTTTCACTCTCCCTAAATGAGACGGCAAAAAAAAAAACAAACAGAGATCAGCTCAAGAGATTGAGACGTATTGCGAACACAAACCTCATGCACACAATTTACTAATCACGTGCATCAATTAAATTCAAATACTATACAGTCAACAAGACTTGAACTCCATGTGTATAGATATACATCTCATCCTTCTATTTGACTACCAAATCAACTGCTACGGCTTTACAATTCTTTTTCTTCGAAGTAGGGAAAAAAGACAGAAAACAAAATAATATAACTATACGATAGACAAAACATATGATCTCCATTATTATGGCCGGCTTTTGAAAGATCTCAAATCCACTCTGCATACATAAATACATAAATAAACATCAAACCCCAATATCTTATGGCCTTGATTTTTGCAGCTTTCACTCACAGGTAACTACAACATCTCAAATTATGACATACCAAACAGCAGAACATGTAGTTCTAGTGGGAACATTAGCCCATTCCTCCATTGAAAATAGAGACTAGAGACTTCCTGGTTTTTGCTCACAAGTTGCTTTGTCAATAGAAGAGGTTGCAGAAAACTGATGGAGCAGCTTTCAACCAGTGACCACAAATTGGATTTGATGGATGGCCTGTGTCTGATTTATATAATTTATTGCATACTAAAAATCAAGATTGCCACTAATTAAAGGGCTCATAAATCCACCTAGAGACTTAGAACAGGCGTTGAGTCCCGATCCTCCTTTTCCTCAGCCGCTCAGAGACAATGAAGGCCAGTTCAAGAGACTGAGAAGCATTAAGCCTGGGGTCACAATGTGTGTGGTAGCGTGAGCTCAGATCATCATATGTCACAGTTCGTGAGCCGCCAATGCACTCTGTCACATTTTGCCCTGTCATCTCCAGATGAACTCCACCAGGGTGGCTCCCTTCTTGCTCATGCACATCAAAGAAAGCTCGGACCTCAGCCTGCCAACATATACAACTTTATGATCAAGATCATACAGGTTGACAACTTTCACAGAGACAGAAAACTGAAGAAAAGTTACAACATAAGTGTATAACTCATATATGACAGAGCCAAGATGTTCAATGATTCGGGATTTTTTGAGCCCAAACGATGGGAAAAGATATCTCAAAGACTAAATGACTCAAAGTGGTCCCCTGGTTAGATAACTTCAAGTATTTCTGGTCAGTTGATTGCAAATCACTGATCAAGACTTGAATTGTTCACCTACCCACAACCATTAGTTGGACATCCAATAATTAAGGTCTTGGTCGTCCACCAACAGATTGATAATTTAAACTTTTCCACTAATTAGAACTTTTTCTGAATAATTAATCATTACAAAGACACTTTTCCCAACAGGAACCCCATTTACAGAAACTGCATATTTTATTGCTATTTCAGCCATCAGAGTTCCATTCCAAAGAAGAAATTTACTGCACTTGTGGAAGCACAAAAAAGGCTTTTTTTCTTCAACTGAATAATATTTTCAGCATTTACTTGAACTTCTTCACTAATATCTATGGAGGTCACTCTCTTATAATTTGGGAACATTAATCTATAGGTTATTCCACTCCGAAAACTTTATTTCCTAAATGAGGGTTGTCTATCTTATAGGTGCAAAAATTAAGCAACTGGTGTTGGAGTGTCATATGAAGTGGGTGAGAGAAATCATACCAGGATTGCATCAAAAGCACGTGTTTTGAGTCCGCATGGTGCCTTTATGGTGTTCCCGTGCATTGGATCACAGACCCAAGTCACAATTTGCCCTGCTCTGCGGACTGCCCTGATCAAATGGGGAAGTTTGACTCTCATGTTCTCTGCTCCCATTCTTACAATCACAGTTATCCTTCCAGGCTTGTTTTTAGGATTCAAGATTTCAATGAGATTTACTAGTTCGTTGGGATCCATCTTATGGCTCACCTGCAATACAACTATCATTTTTAGCAACCTTATTCAGGCTTGCAGATAAATGAAAAATCCTGTCAACCAGTCACATAAGGACACAAGAATATAGAAGAAAATATATATATAGATATATATATATATACACACACATATGTATTTTAGATATAAAGTACAAGAAACTTTAATAGCACATATGTATTTGAGATATCAAGTATAAGAAACTTCAATAGAGGAGTTTAAGATCAATTCTCCAGCTTCTTTTCAAGAACTAGGATGAGCAATATGAGATCAACACATGGGCACAGGCAGACCATGTATGTAGAAACTTGCTGCAGATAGGCAAATAATACTAAAGGTGAAAACAATATTCTTTTTTTTTTTTTTGGGGAGGGGGGGGGGGGGGGGGGGAAAAAAAAAC